CCCTCCCTCCCTCCCTCTCTGTTTGAACTACTTTTGCTGGATGAAATGTATATTTTGAGTAGGTTTTACTGTAATGTCTATTTTGATGACACACATGCTTTGATTTACATGTACATATGAATCAATGAGTGCATGTCCACAGTTATTTATGGGACTGAAATATCTTCTGTAAGATTTATGCACCGTGGAAAATAACAGCTTAGAAATGGTAAGTAGCTGAAACAATCATTCAAGCTCAAAAATGAAAACTTCCATGAAGACACTTTACAAAACAGATGAATGCTTTGGTAATTATACCCTCGCCCTAAAATCTGGAATATATTTCTAACATCCTACTACAGCAATAGTAAAAAAACAGAGATTGGAAAATGTAGTTTGTTCTAAAAAAAGGAGTAACAGGAGGTGCCAAGGTATTGTTTGCTGTGTGCCAGCAGAAAATTCAGTTGCTTAAAAACCAGTAGATGGCATAGCAAAGTCAAAAGGAATAGATTTGGAGAGGGAAAGAAGAAAAGAATAGAGTGCCAATTATGATAAATATTAATCTCATAATAAGGGAAATACAAATAACCATTTTAGACTGGTTACAAGTAGTTACAAAAAGTACTATGGGCATGGTCTACCTTTACTCCTTCCAGCTTCTGGTGATGGTTTTAGAACAAGACAAAATCATCAAGCCAGCTTAGGCAACCTCGTGAACAATGCTGCACTTTGATGACACATTGAGATACAATTTTAACAACAGGTTCTTTCAGCATTGATAAGGATCCACAGAGGCTTAAGTAACCCAGATTCACCATCATTTTGAATAAAAGATACAAATGGTTGCATTGGGTCTTAGAAATTCAGTTGTAGTTTCACGAAAAAACTAAATTTCCTGCTTGGTAATTCATACAAAATACTGTTCTCAAAATCTGCAACTAGTATGTAAGATAAGTCTCTCCCCTAAATATTGGAAAAGTTGACAAAAGAACTAATAGTTAAAAAAACCTTAATTCATTTGAAGAACAAGGATTTGGACTGAAGGGCCATTTGGATAATGCATCTCTCTCCAGGCAGTTCAAGAAACTAAATACAGTGGTACCTCTACTTACGAACGCCCCTACTTACGAAATTTTCGAGATACGATCAGCTCCGGCCCCAAAAATTTACCTCTACTTACAAATTCACCTTGACTTACGACAAGAAACTAAATACAGTGGTACCTCTACTTACGAACGCCCCTACTTACGAAATTTTCGAGATACGATCAGCTCCGGCCCCAAAAATTTACCTCTACTTACAAATTCACCTTGACTTACGAGCCATTTTCTGCCTGTTCCACGTGGTCCGCGGCCATTTTTCTGCCCGTGCCACGTGGTCCGCGGCCATTTCCCGCCCGTTCCACGTGGTCTGCGGCCATTTTTCCGCCCGTGCCACGTGGTCCGCAGCTGTTTTTCTGCCCCTGACACGTGGTCCGCGGCCATTTTTTCTGCCCTGCCGCGTGGTCAGTGGCCGTTTTTCCGCCTGATGCGTGGTCCGCGGACGCCGGAATGGATTAACGGTAATTACATTGAACCTTATGGGAAAATTTACTTCGACTTGCGACCAACTCGACTTGCGATCAGAGTCAAGGAACGGATTAAGTTCATAAGTAGAGGTACCACTGTAGATGATTCTGGCCTTGGAAACAAAGATTAGGCAGCAGAATAAAACAGTATTGAGAAAGAGCCACAACAGATGCCCAGATGATGCAGACCCCAAACAGTTAACCTCTTGTGGAAGTGGAGATACTTCAGAAATGCCCGTGAAGATGCTGAGTTGGCCAATTTATACATATCTTTATGTGTTGGTTGGCGGGCTATTGAGTTGGTAGTGAAGTGGGCATGTTTGGTAGCAGTTCTCCAGGAGCAGCTCCCTTTAATTTAATCAGTGGCAGAAGCATGGTTTTCTCTAAATTTATAAAAGATAAAGCCATAGGAATAAAACAGTGCTAAACTCTCTGCTGGTCTTAGGGATACTGTTCTTGTCCTGCATGTATACTAAACTTATTTGTTGGATTTTCTAGAATAAAAGGAAGCCAGGATAACCCCAGTGGGAAAATAAAGAGAGATCTGGTACATCTAAGCTCCTCTTTAATGGTTTACATTAGTTACTAAGACTCCTTTTTCTCAGTAACAATTCTACCAAGACCTGGTTCAGGATGAACTAAAACAATAAATAAACAAACAAACAAACTCAAATCCAACCTATCAGATTTAAAAAAAAAACAAATCTACTACGGAATCTGAAAAGATGCTACTTTCATCATCAAATCTATGAGTGATCCCAGAACTACTTTCTATGAACAAAATAACTTTACCTCTCCACATGATCAACGTTGCCTGCTACACCAAGGCCTCCTATGGTATATATTTTGCCATCATAAACCAAGCTGTTGTGCCGACATCGTGGGACTGTCATTCGGGAAACGAGATTCCAGTTATCAAGGAGCGACATGTAGCACCAGACATCAGACAGTGTGACTCCAGACTCCATACCACCTGCCCTCAGTATGGAGAAGGGAAAAAGATCAGTGACTTGGTATATATTGCAATGCAAGTCAATTGCAATATAAGAAGATCTTCCAAATGACACTTGACTAATTAAAATAAATCACCGTCGATTGCAAGCATCTGTTCAGATGATGCAGATTGCTGTCACTTATTTATGCATCCCAAAGGGTTTTTTTAAAAGGCTGTCATGATGTCAGGCTAGGCAGGACATTTGCATATGTGAGCATAATTAGGCAGCATTCATAAATATCCTACAGGCTATTCAGTTGCATATGCAACTGTATGAAGCAGCTTACTAGACACTTTCAGAATTAGAAATCGTATCTGCCACATGGCCTAGGCAATGAATGCTACAAACCAGGGGCCTCTTTTCAGGGTCTCCATAGCATTCAGACTGTGGATGCAGAATGTTATACAGTAATTAAGAATTTCTAAGAGTCACCACATATTATAATTTATGGGTATCCCTAAAAATGTAATAATGAAATGAAATATCAGATACTCTCAGTGGTATGTAATGGTTGTGCAAGTGGCACACAGTTTTTCTTCTCTCACCTCTTCTCCACCTCTAATCGCTCGTTCCTTGGACTTCCTTTCTAACTCCCATGCGGCCCCCAAGGCTGATTATATCAGCTTTCTTCCACTCACGAAATGTCAGATACAGCCTGTTGTGCTTATAAGGAAGTAGCTGTGGTGGCATTTTAGAAATTTGTGATGTGCATATTTACCCAAACCATGATGTGATATTGTAAATTTACATGTCATTAATGATGTGGCATCTCTGTGTTCCTCCAGTTAAGTATGAGAGAACAGCTTGTTCCCTTTCACTAGAACGAGGAAGAAGTTTCAACAACAGATTTAAAAAATGAGGTGGGATAACTTGTCGTTTAAGTAAATGTGGTCATACAGATCAGCATCTTGAGCAAACTGGCTTGAGATGTAGAAGCATAATCCTTTCGATCAAGATCCAGATGCTTTATACTGTGTCACAATTGCAAGGAAAAGCCCTTCACAGTTTAATCAAGGTCCCTAATATGTCTTTTGCACATTACAAGGGCAAAATGTCCTAAGGAGGAAATCTGAGCTGAAATGAAATGGCAAATGATCAAAGGAACTCTCTCCTTCCCAGCCAAACTGTCATGCATCCATTCTGATTCATTTGGCATATGAGTTTGCAAAGAGACCATGTTTGCTGCTCACCTGAGAGGTAGACATTGTCTCCAGCGCTCACCACACTAAAGAACTCCCGATCATAGAAGGGCAGGCTGGCTAGTGGGTACCATTTGTTGTTCTGAGGATTGAAGCACGTTACTGCTGTTAAAGCACGTTGATTCATTCCAATCATCTGACGGCCTCCAACTAGGACTATCACTTCCGCTACACCTAGAATGTGAATTAACCTGAACATAGATTACTTTTTATAGACATACATATAAAATCAGATCATAATCTCCAAAGGATCATAATCTCCAATTTCCTTTACCTTGTACTCTTTGCTTAAGCCTAATTCTTTTCTGCTGTTTCATTAGGTTTGATTATATGCTTATTGCACTCAAGATAAGTAGAGGAACATGTTTGTGTATGGCCCAAATACTTCTCTTGCTGCTTAAGCAGCACATAATGTCCGGTATTTTTTCAAGCTCTAGCAGAATAATGAATATATTAAGACTAAATTTGGTGTATGTTTCCACCAAATGGGAAGACACCTCCTTTGCAGTATCCCTTCTCCTCTAACATGTACGTTTTTCCTTATTTTCAGAACAATAGTAATATTCATCTAATGTCGAAAGGATCATACCCTTTAATAAGGGTACCCTTTAATATTAATATTAATATTAATTAATATTAATCCCAGGCACACATTCCACCTCACCATTGCTAAAATGGATTTGAATAATTAGTTCTTAAAAGATCCTTGCATAAAGTACTTACATGAGGAACTTAAAAAATATTTTTCAAGAACTGGACTTTTCTTTAAATGATGCATATATACTCTAAAACAAAGTAATCTATTGAACATTGCCAGCACGACATAAAATAGTGTGTTCATGTTTCCTTCCCTCTGTTTGCTTTGGAAATTTCAACTTAGGGTTTTTTCCCCTCAGAGAGAAAAAAAGCAACTACTGTACATTTTTAGTTGTCTTATCACAACATAAAAAAGAATAGGAACATTTTCAAAGATTTAGCCACCATCAGAGCCAGTTTGGTGTAGCAGTTAAGATGCCGGCCTAGAAACCAGGAGATGGTGAGTTCCAGCCCTGCCTTAGGCATGAAAGCTGCTGGGTGACTGGGTCACGCTATCTCAGCCCAACCCACAGCCACTCACAGGGCTGTTGTTGTGGGGAAATAGGAGGCAGGAGTACAGGTAGTCCTCGCTTAATGACCATTGACTTAACCACAGTTTGAAGTTATGATGGCTTCGGAAAAAGTGTTTTATGACCTGTACTCGCACTTACAACCATCGTAAACTGTCACACCATCCCCCACAGTCATGTGATTGCTATTCGCAACATTTTTTACAATGGTTGTTAAGCAAATTACCACAGTCATTAAGTGAATCATGTGGTCATGATTTGCTTAAGAACTGTCATAACAATGGTTGTAAAATTGGGTCCGGTCACATGGTGACTCGCTTAACAACTGCCCCACTTAACAAGCAATTTTCCAGTCCTATTGTGTTCATTAAGTGAGGACTACCTGAATTACATATGTTTGCCACCTTGAGTTCACCTGGCCCCCACAAAAAAAGGCAGGATAAAAATCTAATAATAATTCTCTGCTTTGGAATCATCTATTGCATTACCTGTATTTCATCCTTTGTTACCCCCTCATTCTATATATAGATGGTATCAACAAGTGACAGATTATAAAATTTGGAATAAATTGAGCTGGCAGTAAGATTATTGTTTTCAGAACAATGGCAGGAAAATTCATCACCTGTGTTAGAACTAATGTGATTATAATAAATAGCCTCAAGAGGGTATTGTAGATATTGTGATTTTCACAAAGGATTTAAAAACCCTTTATGAATAGTTCCACTAATTGGACTTTGACTTACAGGAATAATCACTCTTCTTATTCTTGGAAAATAACTTTCTCTTAATTAACAATCTTCTGAAAATAGTTTGCATTATACCTACAATTTTATTTGTAAACAGTGAATAGATACTTTCCAGAAATACCTTTGTTTGATAAATTGTTGGCCACCCCCAATTTAGAAGAGTAAGAGAAGGGCTGTTACTGAAAGTCCTATGTATTTCATCTTTCTGATAATTTCTCTGATCAGATAAAGTTTCTGCAAAAAATGCAACTTGACTACAGTTTTATATACTAGCAACTTCTTGGCTTTTTGATTTTTCCTGCTGGTCTGAAGCAACTTTGAAAGACAATTCGTATTGAGAAGTCATGCTATCTTTCAACATAATAGGTACACTAAAAGGTTTTGACCATTACTATAATAAAAGCAGATCTGATCACTTCATATTCCCTAGATAATAAATAAAGCATGGGAACTGAACCTATTCACTAATTTAGTTATTCATTTACAGTATTCTTCCTTCTCTCTTTCTCTTATGCGTGTATATTCCAAGGATATAAGGGGAAATTTATCAAAAATTAACTATCATATTATATATTTTTTAAGTATCAGTATAACAAAGAGCATCAAGTAAAATACATAATATTTATTATAAAACGTATCACATATAAGACTTAGTTGTTTACCAAACAGAGGCACTTCAGCTGTGACTTTCCACAGCCTGAAGAGGTCAAATTACATAAACTGTTAGGTTCAGGACAAAAAATGGCATTACTCATAACTGAAGACCACTTTGTGAACAATTGTCTGTAAAATGGCACCCCATTTTAAAAATGTATTGACCCTCCAACTGCAGGTCCATGCCCAAACCACTTTTGCCCACAGACACTTACAAATATTCCCTTCTCTCTTTCCAACACAAATAGCAAGAAAGGAAGAAAATTATCAGGATGGAGATAGAGTGAGAGGAAAGGATTGCTGGACTGGGAAGGGAAGGGGTTGATAAAGTGAGGGGAAATGATAAACCGGACTGGTCAGGAAAACAGGGACTCTTTGTCCTAACACATCAAGGCCATATGTTTGCAACGGGGCAGGAGAGAGGCCACTGTCCTCCCTTCTGCCTCACTGAATGTGAGGGCTATGGGTGGAGGGGGCCTGACATTTTTAGAGTCTTCACTTTTGCCAAGGCAGAAATAGCGTCTCTCCTTCAGTAATGTGTCCCTTATTCTATGAAAACGAGGACTCTTCATTTCAAAGGAGCACGTGAGATCCTCTGAAGACTTATCTAGAAGTCACACTATGTTTAATGGTTTTTCTGCTTCGTAAATCTGCCTACAGCCAGCCAGGCACGTCATGAATGATATGAAAAAAGGATGTGTGTGACTTCTCGGGGTCATGCGTAGATTTAGATATATTATTGTTAAAACTTTAAAATACTATTATTGTTACTATTAAATGGCACGAAAAGATTATATTGTTTTCTGGAAGGCAATCTGAAATAGTTGAGGGTATCTGTAACTTTAAAGGTGTTTGGGGAAAAATCATGTTGGATTAAAAATATAAACTACATACATGCCCAGAATTCTACCTCCTGACAGTGCCGAACTGTTAAATAAACATGGCCAAACCATGACAGAAAAACATCTGCTAGGGAATTAGCACCTGGCTTGGGATGATAAATGCTCTCTGTCCTCTCTCTCAATACTTTTGCCACAAGGAGAATCAGAGGGAGAACCTGAAGAACTGCAGGACACCCAATTGCTCAGTTTGCTACTCTGACTGTATCTTGGACGCTTTACAGAGAAGGGGAAAGGAAGCCATTTAATCGTGGTTCCTTCCGCATAGACTGCAAGTAGCACGAGTCATCTCAGAAATATTTCCAGAAACAAGACTGTTTCAAAGCTCCGACTTTACCTGCTGATAACCTGGGCCGGGTTCTTGGAGTCTGCATCTCTTGCCGGGCATGCGGCAACATGTGATAACGCTTGGCTTCGTTCACCAGATCCCGGCAGGCCTCTGAAGATTTTATCAGTTCCTCATTGTCAACAACGTTTAGCAGATAACTGGGATGGATGAAGGGTAAACGGACCACTGCCAACAGCTCAGCAGAATACTGTAAAAAAACACAGGGACTGCTTTATGCAACTGCCCTTCGGTCTTCTCTTTGGCTCTATTTGGGACAGTGGAACATTTGCATTTGGCCTGTCTTCATGATATAAAACCTGTATTTGCTTTCTCTTCTTATGCTCCCCCTTCTCAAAAGGTAGTTACAGCCCTGATGAAGGCAAAACAGTCTTCTGAAAAAATCTAAGCCTTCTTACTCTTACACTTAGAATGGAAGAAACAAGACCAAAAAAATCAGCTTTTGTTTTATAGCGTGTAAACAAACATTTCAAACTTAAAATTGATGGTGGAACTTATGCCAAATTTATATCTCTTGCGCAGGGGAGACATGCTGTGATTTTTGCAGTTTCTTCAGTTAACTTTGAAATTTAGGGCTGGCTGCTTTATTTCAAAGAAATAGTTATTCTGGTAGCATTTCAAATGTCAAAAAAGTTCTATGTTTATAGAACATCTAAAGTGAGTGGTGAATAATAGCACTAGTTTTGATAAAGCCATGGGGTTTTCTTCTCTGACAAAACAAATACCTTCTTTCAGGTTCTGCTAGAAGTCAAACTCAAGGAGCTAATAATCAAATGCATATGGCATATCTCCATCCTTCTGCATCAATAAAATAAACTTTATAGTGCAAAGGATATTTAAATAGCTGAAAACATCTATCATCAGTCAAGGCTTAACAGAAACCAAAAGTGCGAGCGAGAGAAAATGGAATATTATAAAACAGAGAATTCATGCAATGATTTATTTTTGTAACTGTTCATTCTCCTAAATATCACAGACTGCTTCAGACCATAAAAGCACAACAGTTGGAAAAGAAGCAAAAAGAGCAGATTTGTAAAAACGAGAAAAGGTGATTAAGAATAGTCAAGGATATTGATAGGGCAATGTTCTGATACACTGGAAAGGGAAATGGAGACATTCTTTAAGAACTTCAAAGCTGCCAACTTAGCACCCTGTGATCTTCAGGCAACTGGGAGTACCTATTATCATTTGTAATACCCTTCTTAGCTAACTGTTCCATCTTGGAGACACTACGTTCTATGGAGAATCGAGACAGCCAGCTAAGAGTAGAAGAAAATGAGGACTTGGAAGGAGTGCAGATTAGTACCATACTTAATGTTCCAAACACACATAAGTCTAATTTTCTAGAAAGTGGTTATCGATTTGAACCTATTAGAGACTAAAGTTTTGTAGCTATGCTAGTTAAGAGCTGTCACTATCATTAGGACGTCAATCAAATATATTGAAAATTTATTTGGAACATTTTTTAGGACACTAAACTCTCCAGAGCTCCCATGATTTGATCAAAAGTAAAAAAAAAAAAAAGTAAAAAAACAAAAAACAAAATCCTACTATTATAATGGACAGAAAGAAGATAGTTTGTTGCCTTTATTAAATAAAGCTAGTAGAGATGAAATATTGGGGGACTCATAAGAGACTACTTTTCAGTCTTTGGCAGAAAACTACCATCTGTCAGTTCTACATTATTAAAATCCCTAAAATCTACATTTATTTATGCTCTTATTTGTTTAACCAATAATGTAGGACTTCATCTATAAGAAAGAAAAGGCAGAGAGCTGTGTGAAAAGCAGACTTTTATCTGATGTTTTACTATATCACCTAAATTTAGAATTTAAAAAATGCTCATCTCCTTGGAGCAAGAAATATCACAGCAAAAACATCAAATTAGTATTAATATCAGATTAGCTTCCATATAATCAATAAAGGCTGTGTTTGAATAATATTACATCTTTACACAATACTTATTACTCAAAACCTTACACAGTTATCAATGTTTATTTAAAACATAACCAATTTATTTTGAATAGTTTTCTAATTGAGGAATATAGTTCAAAATGATTAAAACATAAAATATTCTATAAGTGAGCATGCCCCTGGCCCACCCATATCTTGCCCAGTTGTTAATATTAAATATGTAACATTAATGTATATTGGTAAAGAAACACTACTATTGTTGTTGGCTTTATTTTCAGGCTGTTTTTATTTGTTTTACATTTGTTTTGAATAATATAAGGCTGGCATCCAAATGCTAACACTAATAATATTGTTGAAGAAATGCTTCTGAAGTGTGGCATGACTGATAAATCTCTGATTTCCAAGGCTGCTATTTCTCTATGGGAGAAAACTTGAGGAAAGCATTAGCCAGAAAGTTCTCAGTATCTTAAAAAGCAACAAGGATAACACAACTAATCAGACTGAACTCCAAAAAAGGAACCTGACAAATCAGGAACCAGCAGTTCCTAACCTAGAGAGAACTGTTATGACAACATAGCTCAGGTGCCTTCAAACTTATCAGAAGAACAGCCAAATATCTGTTGACTAGGGAGGACAGGAGAAAAAAAAGCCTGGAATCGAAGCCCTGAAGCCCAGGACTATTTAAGGACTTTTTCAGTGTACTGCAAAGGAGAAATCTTCAGAGTAGATATGGCTTCATTCTTGGCTGCAACAGGAGTGAAATCAAGCCAAGTCATATAAAGGCCTTCTGCCAAGGATGCCCATTTTGTAAAAGGGGTTCAATGTCAGGGAAACTGAGACTGAGAGCCAAGTCTACCGTGAAGCCTGACAAAGCCTGTCAAAAATGAACTGACTAGTTTAAAAAAAAAATTTAAAGGAAAAGGCAAGAAGGTATAAAATCTCTCCAGAATGTTGAAATGTTATTTAAAAACACAATAATAGAAGATGAGTGAGAATGTATATCACTGATCAGGAAAGAAATAAATCCAAAAGGCCACCAGTGTGGCTAATAAGCAGAGCAAGGAAATAAGTGGCAGAAAACTCCATCCATCCATCCATCCATCCATCCATCCATCCATCCATCCATCCATCCATCCATCCATCCATCCATCCATCCATCCATCCATCCATCCATCCATCCATCCATCCATCCATCCATCCATCCATCCATCCATCCATCCATCCATCCATCCATCCATCCATCCATCCATCCATCTTACTCTACTTTACCCTACCCTACCCTACCCATCTAATTTACATCCACTGCCATCAGCCAGACTTTTGTCAATTTTACAGTAATTAAGAGTATACAAAGCAAAACAATAGCAATCCAATTAAAGTGTGCATGGTCAGAAATGATCGACACTTCAGTGGTTTGAGCCCAGCTCCGTGCAGCAGAGTGAGCTC